AAGTCCAAAAATTGTAATTCGGAAAATATTGCTACGCTATCGCCTACCGTATGAATTTTTAATCTAATGCTTCTTCTTAATACAATTTTGTAAATTTTATTTTGACATTATAAAGATAATAAAATTGTCTTTTGTTTCTACCTACAATGAAATAATTATTGGACTACTTTCACTAAAAATAAAAAGTATAATAGTATAAACTATAAAAGTAATAATAATTTCACAGCTAAAATGATTGAAACTTGTCAATGCAGAATGCATATTTAAAAGCATTAAATTATGTTTGTTTACATGTTTTACACAAATAGCTAAGTATTAGGTTTATTAAAACTATATTATATATTATGTACTATATTTATAAATATATACTAATTATAGCTTTCAATTTTCATTAAAAACTGTCTACGACGATTGACAAAATTCTTAATACGTAGGAGGTATTATGGCTCACAACATAATATAAACAATAATAGATCAAATAATAAATAAACCAAAACAATTAAAATAGCTAATAGTAACAATATATTTATAACAAAAACAATAACAATGTCATACATTCAATAAAAAAAAGTCTGCATTGTTAAGATGGTTATCAACTTAATTACAAAAAAACATTTTTTTTGTTTTTGTTTACGTTAAATCGCTTACACATCTAATGATTGTAGTAAAATTTAATTAAAATTAAAGAGCATCGATTAAACACTAGCAGTTGCACTTACATGGCCTATCGAGTTACAATTACTCTACTTAATGCAATTTATTTACAAACTGATCAAATGAATAACGGTCAATCACATTTGTAGGGCCTATCGCCCAGTGGGCACGCATCCATGTTGTGCGAATTGGGATTTTCGAGAAAATGATTTTAAACACACATAACATTTGTGAGCCGTCTTTCCACCAGTGTGCGAGTGTTTGTGTTTTGTGCAACGACTTTAAGCAAATATCACAGCTATAAGGCTTTTCACCAGTGTGCATGCGTCTGTGGTTTGCAAGGGTCAATTTATAAGAAAAATCTTTATAGCACACATCACAATTGTAGCGTTGGCTGATGTTTTCGGTATTTCCTTTGGTCACTTCATTAGTCGTATGATTGACACTATAACAAAATATTACAAAGTCTAACAATAAATAATAACGTTTTATAAAATTATTATTTACATAATTTTACACAGCAAACCATTTATTTTTGTTTATCATATTATTGGCTAAAATGTATTTTACTTTTAATTAATATTGTGAGTGAAACTTGAAAAAAACCATAATTTGCATTATATGTTTTAAGGATATACTAAAAAAAAGGGGAGTCAATTTCTAGGTTACTATATTGTGTGAATAAACCAACTTCCCCCTGTCCTAATATTCTCTATCCTCACTATGCAGGATTTTTTTGTCAGTTGCTTCTCTTCTTCATAATTGAAAGCAATCATAAAACTATCACTGATTATTTAAAAGTATATAAATTGATAGACTGCGGAAAAGACGTTAACTTAAATAATACAATTCTATTTTCTTCTTTTTGTTTCATTGAACCTACATCGATTGCAGGAATACCGTTGTGTGATGTTGTAATATGATGTTTCAATCCCTCTTTAGACGTAAACGACTCTAGACACAAATCGCATTTCTCTTCCACCAAGCTGTTTGTTACTTGCATGACCTGTCCAATGGTGTCGTTTTTTCTACTTGTAATAACAATTCAAAACAATATTATTCAATTACATCAATTTAGTGTTCTATATTAGTTCTGTTGATCAAATGTTTTTTTTCAAATTTTTATATTATTTAAAAATTAATTAAGATACTCTGAAAATTGGAAATTTAACAATTTTTTTTTTTTACCCAGAATACTAATACAATTACATTTAGATGAAAATATGATCAAACTCGATAGTCGATAGTGTTATTATTTTACTCTAGAAAATGTGTTAACAACAACTCTATCTGATAACACTATCAGCCTATCATTGTTGGTATGAACGCTTACCTAGTAATCTAAACTGACAAAAAGGTGCAGACAAATTCAAATGACGCCGTCTCGTTGTGACTTACTCGTTTAGCCAGTATGTCATCTAAAGCCAATAATTGTTAGTCCTTACAACATAAAATATACAGTATATTTTTAAATTATCTAGAACATATTGATATTAGTTTTAGGTATATCTTACCGTTAAAGAGGGTAGGAACAGCATTATCCGTTAACCTGTTTTTATGATTAACATTCAGGAACATTTTGTCTTCAAAATGATTCTGACATATTATCTGAACATCTTCAACGATGACGTTTTTGCCAGCCAATTCGGGGACACAATTATTAATCCACATTGCACGTCTAGAACCAAAAAAAAATTATATCAGTGCAAAATACACATCATAAAGCATTTCTCCAGTATGGATACATTTGTGTACTACAAGGTAAGATTTTGTACGAGTAGTAAAGTACTTGACGCATACGTCACATTTGTACAGTTCTACTGCAATAGGCACTCGTTCGTTATTTGTGAGTGAAGTCTTGCATACATATACACGAGTATTGTGGACATAAATTAAATGACAGACTATTTGCCTTACGGCAAAAAACATTTTTTCACACTAACCGCATTGATATTTGTCCGAATGTTCATAGGTTTTTGTTAGATGATTAATTACATCAATTATAATCGCTTCATTGGTAATTTCATTTACACTAGAACAACATAACAGTACAAATTAAATTAATAATTACTAAGATACATTTTAATATTTTTTCAATTTTTTACATAATAATATTATATTTTCTTTTAAATTTAGTAAGTATGATTAATATACACAACCTAGAAAGGCAAGGTATTTATATTAGACAAAACATAGTACAAGTGGTAGTAGTTTGATCAAATTATATTCATTTCAGTTTTAACATAATAATATGTGATAATAAGAGTTAAATCTACTTTTCATAATAAAAAAAAAAGTTTTGGATGAAAAAATTAACCATTTAGATATTTAATTACTTAGAGGAGATATAATTACATTTCCTAGTTAATGCAGGACGAATTACGTTTTTATGTTCTAAACTTAAATAATGTAAGCATAGTTTTATTTTTAATCTAACAAAGGGTAAGACAATGTGTTCATAAGATTTATATAAATGGCGGTTGCTGATTCATATACACTATATTGATGAAGTTGACATCTTTCTATTAAATTATTATTATTTTCTAAGCCCACCCTGTCATTTTACATTAGGAATATACACTCCACAAAATACAACTGGTCTGCTCAGCTATAAATATCATACATCTCCAAAAACAACTTGATTTTTTCTAACAACAAGCAAATTGTCATGTTTAAGTTTATACAAAACGCCGTTTTGAGTAGGAATCATACTTTGCCGTTATCTCATCAAAAAGCCTATTTTTTTTTTATTACCACAACCCTTGCAACAATCATTTACTACATCTATTTCGGTATTAAATTCAAAAATATTAAATTAAAATTATAGTAACTTGCAAATGTAATGTCTAGCTCAGATGACATCAGCTATTAATTTAAAGAAAAAGTAAGTCTAATAAGAAGTGGTTATTTGAACTTGAATGATGGTATCGCTTAACATGTAAAACATACTGCTATGTAACATGCCGTTTGCCACAACATGTTTTGATTATTTAATTTTTAATTTTTTTTTTAACAAAAAAATTTAACTGAACAAGTTACCACGACGGGGGCCTAATAGTGTTTTGTAATGATGAAATACTGACAATGCTAGGACACATAATTTCTGGATAATACAAAATATTTGGGTTTTGAAACAGAATTTTAAGACCTTTTGTTCAAGAAGCTACAATGTACATTTTACGAAAGTCAAGCCAGTCTCAATTGAATTAAAAAAATGTAATGATTGTAAATATTTCACTTGGTAAGTGTGTTCAGCATATCATTTTCTTTCTGTATATGTATTGTGTTCTCATAGAAATATTCAACTGTTCCTTCTATTTCAATTGGTGCCTCATTTTTCATTTCATCATCACTAAAAAAACAAGACACATTAAAAAATTGATCTGAATTACTATATTATGAAGAAACTACAAATAATAATGTCTTAATTGAATCAACAAAATGTTAAAACTGTAAATACTTTACATGGTAACTTCTGAGCTCAAAAGAACATTTCCGTCTACTATAAACATCATGGGCTCATCACAATCGTATGTTTCATCTATTTCAATTGGCGCCGCATTTTTCACTTCATCGATACTAAAACATTGAAACATAATTTAATTATAAAAACTGGGAGGTAAATCCTTGGTAATAAATTATGTTCTATTTTAGGGTGTAACAAAATATTGTAGTCCTAATAGTCATCAGATTTTGAAAAAATATAATAATAAATTTAATAACTCCTATTTATCGTTACAATGATACAATAATGTAATAAAAGAACTAAAAGGCATCATTATACGTAAAAAAATGTAGGTATACTTTGTTAAAATCATTTCACTTTTTTGAGATGGTTCTTAACAACTACGCTTTTGGTACTGTTCGTCACCGCGTTTCACAAGAGAACATCCCGCCTAGCAAATAGAATTGCAAGACCAAATGTCAAGCTAGCGACAGTGACTGATAACACACTGAACGAATTACCCGTTCTGCCATTAGCCTCCTCAAAAACTAATAATTTGGCAAACATTTTACAAAAATTATCAACGCTGTATGCGGATACATTGGCACGTGGATATATCTTACAAACAACACAAACGAGCAAAATGAACTATATAAATATGACCCTAATAACCCTTTATAACCCTAATAAAGATTGGGTTGCAAATAACCCAACCTAAACGATTGGTTGTAAATCCAAATTGAGATCGCCGCCCAGAATGACATTATCGGCATGACGTAATAACGTTGCTAGGCGAGTTCTTCGAACAAACACATTTAGCTTTGGCCAATAAGATATTTAACATAAATCATAAAAAATTGATGTATTAACGACAAAGTCAGGAACAAATGTACTTTACCGGGCACTTTTTTTTTTCTTCAGAAAATGTTTGTATACGATTTTTACAATATTTAAAAGAGGAGCTGCAATTCCAAGTGGCAAACTGGGGTAACCTCCAAGTCATAACCGATTATGAAACTGCGTTACGAAATGCAGTCAGAAGGGTAATATCAGAGGCTCAGTTAATGGGTTGCTGGTTTCACTATAATCAGGTTAGCCCACTAAACAAATTAAAATAAAATATTATCAAAATTAAAAAAAATTCTATTTTACAGAGCATAATACGGTTTATACAAACCAATAATCTCGTTAACCAGGTTCGGAACAATATGAATATGGCAATAGTTCTGAGAATGGTAATTTTGTTTTATCTAAAAAAATTAATAATTATAAAATACACTAATAATAATATACAACCAACAGATCATGGCATTACCTCATTTACCCGCAAGGAGACAGGCTGGGTTCCCAGATGATTTTAATATAACCGATGGGTACAGGGCAATAATTGAATTGGCGAGAAATTTAAATCCAGTGGTTAAATCTAAGTTGTAATAACAGCGAATCGTTATATAAAATGAAAAAGGGCTCAACAATATCAGACAACAATTTTTTACAAAAGTTATTATTTCCCGGATTCATGCATTAAAAGTTTAAACATTAAAATCCGAGCATTCATATTGGCTTAATTTTTTTTTTTCATGCAATGAAAGCTGTATAGACTGACGGTGGATTCGACCGAAAACATCATTTAACGAGACGATACGCTGTTATTTTATCCCAACAATAAAATTACTTTTTTGAAAATATTAATAACTTGTTCATTATAATACAATAATACATTACTTTGTTGGATTTTTGTTAATAAATAAAGATTTTATATATTTATCTAATTTCTTAATTTTGCGCCAGGGCGTGGCCTCCCTTGCTACGGCCCTGATAATTGCTTTGAAGTTTACTTTTTTGTTTACCTTGAAAAAACCCAATTGTGAGTTTTGGTCCATTGTGTATTCACTAGAATGTGTGATCACGCTTTTTTTCGATTTTTGGCTCATATCTAGACATAGAATAGAATATTTATTATGATGATTACCTATGTTACTTAAAATAATGTGTCGTATATGGTATTAACTCGATACGCTCAAATTGACACTACGTAATACCTTTTAAAAATAGTTATACCAGGATTCTTTAAAGTTAATTAAAGCCAATGCCCAGAACACCTAAACCTTTCAATACTATACTTCAGCTAGACGAACTAACTCACACTAAATAATAATTTACCAGAACACCTAATACGGTTTTTAATCGTTATTAAGGCCTATTTCTAATTATACCTAGTGCCAGATAAGGCCGGATTTCTGTAAATATAGAACTTAGGGAATAAGGCCTATTTGCAATTTTGATCACTAAAAAAGGTTGTCTTAGTATACGCTATTTAGAATTAACTTAAAACTAAAAGGTGATTGTAAAAGGTTTACGATTATACTTTGACAATAAGTATAATAGCATAAAACACAGGTAAATACAAAACGTTCTCCCCCTAGTTAATGCTAAGCAGAGAGTTCTTCCCCGGGCCAAGCCCAAGAGAGTCCTTATGACGTCACAATTTGTATGGCTTTAAATAATAGAATTAAATATAATTTTCGTCGTATAAACATTTTAACTGTTTGCCATTTGGCCTAGATACATTGCTTAGTTTCATAATTGTATTATAATAATAATAATAATAATAATACTATTTTCCATCGCTCCTACTACAAATGTAATCCAAAAATATTATACTTTACCTGGTCCAGAAGTTGACATCATAATTCCTATAGTCGGAGTATTTATAATTACTATATTATATTTAAATAGTATTCAAAGTGTATAAAAATACACAGTAATGGATCGAAATACAGTTTATAACAAAACCGTTAGTTGAAAAATGATATTTTTCTTCGGTTTTTACTTTTTTAAGTACACAAATTAGTAAGCATTGAGTAATGAAAGATAAGAGAAAAACGTGAAAATGATAATATGATAACATTTCTGCGTTGTCATGGCGTCGGCGTATATTGTGCTGCCATTGCGGTATTTTCAAAGGAGCAACTAACGCTATCTATGATGTACTTTTTAACAATATATTGATTTTTATTTTTTTAAATCCAAGTTAAGGGGATTCGATACCGGACGTTTTTTCAGTCAAAACAAATCATTTTTTGTCCATCGCACAGGCCGAACCTGTTATCCGATAAGTAGTTTGAAAACAGATTTAAATCAGTCATGAAGTCCACTTGAGATTCTACGAGGCACTTTTTTCAATTTTGAATTTTAACCCTTTACAAATTTGATTTTAATAATTGAAATTTTATAAAATGTTCAAACATTTCTTGTTCATAGTAAGAAAAGATATCAAAAAAGTACCTTGTAGGATACCAAGTAAACTTCATAACGAATTCAAATCTGTTTTCAGATTACTAATCGGATCACTGGTTCAGCCTGTGCGATTTACAAAAAATGTACTATTATATTAACTAAAATGACTTTAACTCATAGACAAAATAATTTAAATTAAAAATAATACCATAAAGCTTATACAAATTAACCAGCAAATTAATTGACATGGTCAAAATTTATTTAAACCACTTTTTTCTTAAATATTGCCTATACAAAACTCCTTAAAAATGACTAAGTGTACTTTTGTTAAAAAAGTACCTTTAGTAAACTAAATTTATAAAGTTAATATTATTTGTAACAATGCGCTCTTTGTTTTTTACCGTTTTAGTTTAGTGCATAATACATGAACAGGAGCTGTAAAAATTTACCATCAATGATGACATTAGCTCTTTTGAAATCCCTAACTCAATTCGAAGTTCTTTACAATTTTTGACAACTTAATTTATTATTATATGGATATGTATCTACAAAAAGACTTAAAATTGTAATTATAATTTTTTGCTCAATGTTACAAGTTTTCAAATGGACAAAATTATTGTGTAAATAAAACAAAACCATGTACTTGTTTTAATATAATTTATTGTACAAACAAAATGTTGAAATTCAGAAAAATGTACAACACAATATATTTAATGTATAATATGGACACGTTATGATACATACATATATATATGATCTACAATTTGTTAATACTTATTAATACTACATAGTAGCATTGATTAAATACACTTAATCAATGATAGTAGGTTGTATTATGATTTATGTTTAAAGTTTATCTGGAAACTGACAACCGGTGTTTGTCGGTTCGGGAATTTTTTTCTGCTAGTGTCTATAACATTAATTTGACTATCCTTTTGCACAGTTTAATCGATCCCCGGGACCGGTGGGCGGGACTTCTCGCCTGGCTGACAATGCACATTAATCAATAATCCACCCGGTACCTCCTGACGGGTTACAATGCAATTAATAAATACTATATATATAATAATTGTGCGCCGTGCGGTACGCGCTGGGTCGTCTGGGGCTGCCGCCAGAGTAGAATCAATAATGTGCAAATAAATAACTGGCAACTGCATAATCGAGACACTGCGCTTTCTCTTATAAAAATGTCCTTTTTTTTTTTTTTTGTTATTTCATATCGTGGTAGAATTATTGGCTCTGTGCACATAACGGAACACACTGTAATGAAAAAACATGATTTTATTTTATTTGAAAAAATAACACCTAATAAGTGTTATTTTTCAAACCGAAGTACAACTGTGACTAAAAAAAAAGTCATAATTGCTATGTAAAATATTGTAATAACCACTTTTGAATGTTGTAATATTCTCAAAGTTAATATTGTTTTCTGTACGGCACTTTTATTTATGTTTTTTGTTTAAGCATGTTTATCACAAGTTGCCAAAGACCACTACAGACGTTACCATAATTCTCTTAAAAATCACCCAAATCCCCTAATAAATAATCTCACATTACCCTCAATGCCCAACAACCCACCAAAAAGACTTTTAAAAGGAAGTGGTGCAGAGACCTTCTCACTAACAATTAATTAAAAACGAAGTTAATAAGAGTGTCGTCAGTGGACGGCTTCTCTTTTCATGCTTTCAATGTCTATAATTTACCTGTGTCATCATATAAACTTATTGTACTAAAATTGTATAGATCGTATATGTAAAATAAAGGAAAAAAAAGCATGTTTATAGAATATCATACAAATGTTATATTTCATAAACAGAACAAGACGTGTTTTTTTATTAAATAAATATTAACTATCAGTTTAAAACGTTTTGATTAGAACAAAGGCTCAATTTTACAACTTTTAAATAATTCCATTAACGACATTAACGTCTGCATACTGACAAAAAGACTGTATAATTTATTGCGGTAATTATGAAAAATTGTCCATATCAGTTATACTCTCAAAATGCATGTGAATATATTAATATTAGACAACATTTATACTGTACAGCACTTTATTGACAAAAATAAATAAATTAAAACGCTTATTAGAAATCCCTAAATTATTTTCATTATATTATTATTACGGTAGGTACACGGGTAACTACTAACTAGGGACAGACGATGAACCCTTTATAATCGTATCCACTTTAATATTAAAAATTAATTTTCAAGCACATTATCGTCATTAGGTACAATACTTTTTAATAGTATTTTTTTTATCTGTTTACACTGGACTTCCCTTATTTACTCACTTTTAGCCATAGGCGCAATTTCAATTTTTAATTTGGGGGGGCAGGACATTTTTTCAAAATATATATATAAGTAAATATATTTTGTATTTTAAAATTGTATGCATAACCTAATTTTTTTTTTGGGGGGGGGGCTAAGCCCACCCTAGCCCCCCGCATTTGCGCCTATGCTTTTAGCCCCCACAGAAAAAATAGTAAGCTTCACAAAAAAAGCAAAAAAAACTTGAAATCCGTCCAATAGTTACGCCAGAAAATGACTTCTACGACAGTCATTTTTTTATCAAACTTTCGTCATAACGCGGAGAAAAATAACTTTAAAAGTATTATAATTAGAAAATTTTAATATAATATGTTCACCTTGAAATTAGTAGGCATATGAAAAATGGCTACGAGATACATTTTTTGTAAAATATTGCCTATCCTTTGCCCCTTAACAAATAGCGCTTTCCGTTCCCCCCTAAGTATTCTGTATTATACTTTCTTACTGTGCTATTCATAGGCGGAGATTTCATTAATTTTTTGAGGGGGCTAGCATTTTTCTACCTAAAATGACCCGCAAGGGATTTACACTCCTAAATTATTAATATATAATACTATATAACATTACAAATGTATAAATAAAAATCATAATAATTATAATATAATATTTGTATATTATTTAAGTAAATACATATTATTTTAAGGCAATGTACCTATTCTTAGATCCAAATATATCAATTATTTTTTCTACATCAATATTTAAATCGTTTTCAATGTACAATATGGATGAATTATTAAACCTGTCTTGCAACATACTAGTACGTAACCATGTCTTAATTTTGCGCATAGCTGAAAAGCTGCGTTCGCATGTAGCTGAACTAATTGGCAAAGACAAGGCGACTTGGAATAGTTTGAATAAGCTGGGAAATACATTTTGGGTTAGTGCCTTTTGAATTTTATCAATATTTATTGCGTTTTTTGAAAAATTTATAACTTTATTTGGCACTTGAATTAAAATTAAATGATAACATTATCAAAAACATTGTTATAATGTTTTGCCGTTTTGGAACTGAAATAATTTTCATAATTTATTCTTATTAATAATTTTAGTTTTCATTCCATTAATTAAGGAATTTATTACTTTGATTAGTGATCAAATAATTGGGGGGGGGGCTATTGATAATTTTGGGGGGTGCTAATTCCCCCCAAGCACCCTCCAATCTCCGCCTATGGTGCTATTGCGGATATGTGATAATAATTTCTGTAGACGGTAGACCTGCGACCGTCCCGTCCCCACTGTACTGGCTTTGCGTTTAATAAACGGGTTAACGGGATCAATACGGGTATTGATTTACCTGCACAATATAATGCAATGATGGATTCTGTATGCGCTGTGACCGGTGGGTGGGACGCCTGCCCCGTTGCACGTACAGCCCCACAGCTCACTGCGAATTGGCTGTTTTAGACACACGGTTTGTCGAAAGCCAGCAAAGATTTTCACTCTTGGCTTGCACTCGAATGGAGTGAATCGACCTGAACAGTGGACAAGGGGGGTAGCTTATACAACCCTCTCGTTGAACAGCAGAATAGAGGGCATAGTGTAAAAAAAAATAACAAACAGCCATCCGTTATGTTTGTTCCAGGACATGACAACCCGACACGTCCAGAACCGTCGACTAATGAAAACCAACTGAACGGCAAAGAACATTCACAGTTTCGATCAATCGTTAATCATTGCATTTCGCATTTTAGTCCGAACAATATTTATTTGGGACTTGTCAGTAGATTGAACACAGCTAACATATTAATGTTTGAAATCGATCAACTCTTGTCATTGGCGTAGGCTTTTTGGGTACTTACAAAAGATAAAAGATGTACTTAACACGTTGACCGCCACGGGTTTTTTTACGTTGTTATTTTTAACAGCCATGAGATGTAATTCTAAATCTCAATTTTTTTCAAAAAATTGGTTGTGAGATTTTTTTTAGAGATCTCATTCACAATTATTTTCGATTGATGAGATTTGTACAGTGTTGCCACTTTCATTCGGTCTTTTTAGCAAGCGTCTAGCATTATCAGTTTTTTTCTATGATTTTTTGAAATGTATGTATGCCATGATAATCTTATCATTGATCCATTTGCATATTTTTTTGAAAATAACGTAGCTAGATAATGAAATAGCATAACTTTTGTTAAAATACGTACTGTGTTACAACTTGCATAATATAATATTGTTCGTATACAAAATACAAATATAATGGACACTAACGATAGAAATCAAATTTTAAATTCATCATTTGACTATTCTCCATAAGATGACACGGATGATGATCCAAACTGGGGATATAATATTGAAGTTATCAATTTAGAATTATAGTTTTTATTTTAAAATAAACAATTTGTTGAGATTTAATCTAAGATCTCATTTGATGGTTATCTTTGGTATGATATTTATTTGAAGATCTCGCAGTAGTAGTAATATCGATAATTTTACAGAAAAGTGACATCCTACGGCCACGAGATATAATGCGAAATCTCAGCTCTAATTAACTTGAAACTATAAAAAAACTTATTAGAAACCATTTTTTATAAATAGTTAACACATTTTTAAAAAAATCCGAGAAAAAAATGTTCACACATTTTTTGAGTACAATTAAAAAAAAAAACCTTGGCGGTGAGGACAAAGTTTTGTGAGATCTCACTTTAGAGCTCATGGCGATCAACGTGTTAAATGTGATTCATTCGTATATTATGATTATGTTGTTGTGATTTAAATTTTTATGAATATAAACGTTGATAAGTTAGTATAATTTTTTAATTCGCCAATTTCAATATCTCGATAGAGAATTATTATTGGTTTTAATATTAACAAGTTATATATTATGTAAAAAACATTAAAAATTACTTATTTTTTTTTTATAAGAGTGATATTTTTTTACAGAAATAGGCTTGGGACGATAAGTCCTTTTACTATGATTTTTCAATTTAAAAAAAAAAGTCAATACTTTAAATTAACTTAAGCCCAATTATATTTTAATTAATAATAATAATGACGTTTTGTTTACACTTATAATTGTGATTGTATTGTTTTCAAATTTACATGGTATTAAACCTGTCTTCATTAAAATATATTTATAATAATAACATTCATCTCTGCGGTACACAGACCATTAATTACTTTTTACTATTACAGTGATTAAATTAACAATTTATTTATTTATTCGTATGGCACTGCCAGAGGGGTGATAGAACTTTAGCCGTCTAAAGACGTTGCCTGGGGTACACTATGTGGAAGCGTTCTATCATTGTACCACCATAAATTAACAATATATACTAGTTATAAAACAACAGTAAAATGACAGTCAAAACATTAATTTTTGTTTAATTATAATAGTCGATACTATTCATGAAAATTTTAGTTTTATTTCAGAAATACTAAAGTACATAATATTATCTCAAATATGTTAAATGTTCCCATGATACAGTACATACAAATTTAATGTAAATTAGTGACGCCGGCAACCTTTCCAAAAGTGAAAAAAAAAATGTCTATATTTACAAACTATAACAACACAACATATCTCTAATTCTTGGTAAAATTTAAGTCGGAAAACAATATTATGTTTTGCTACTTTAATAAATATGTAACATTACAATATACAATTTATGACATAAATAATATTATTGATAATCTAAAATATAGGGTGTACACGGTTTTTTAAATTTCTATACAAATATTTTCTAAATATAATACCTAGTAAATTTTGATAAAATATAAAGTGCAATTAAAAAATTTGATAAAAGATATTTGATCGCCCCAATTTTTATTATTATTTAATATAATACAACAATAGCGTGTCTAGTAAGATCAGGCGCTAAATGAAAAAAAAAAAAACGCTTGAACCGACACTACAGGGGAACATGAAAAATAATTTAATTAATTAATATGAATAAATAATATTAGTATTAACAACAAATCGATTCACATGAATGATTTTCAGATATATCTGCGTCAATGGTAGTTTCGGACTCTTTGCAGAGTCCATCTTCAGGGTAATGTCACAACTGTTTCGCTGCCGTGACTGTACAGCGGAATAGTCGTGACATAATGAGTCGGAAACGTCGGTAAACAACTATTTACGCGGATATATCCGCAAATCATTCATGTGATATTTCAATCCGCGAAAGTTTCAACACATTACACATTCATAACAAATCATTGTCATTACGAAGCCACTCTGACAATTATGTACAACTAAGGGGGTTATTATTAAAAACATTAAATACAAAAACGTATTGTTATTGGGTGAGAGAATTATTTGGTTGCAACAGCTGTCGACTGTTTGTTCGGATTCACTGCGGCTGTTCTCTTTGCTAGTTCCCTCTTGCGTTTCCTGATCTTCTTTCTCCTGCGATCCAGCACTACAATGCGTGCTTTGTCCGTGGTGTAATCTTTTTGAAGTTTGTTGATTTTATACAAAAAAATCACTGCTTGACGTTGAGCCGAATCCATCTCTGGTGCTAAAATAGAAAAAAAAAACGTCAACATTAATATCGTAACAAACGGTATGTCACGGTTAGGTATAATCAGCGATAATTATTTTAAGTTATACTTACTGAACGTAACCAGCGGTTTACCATCTTTAGTAGGAATTGTTATTTTGCTATGATTGTACCGTTTGCTTTCGGGTTCTAAACAAATTAACCTTAGACGAACTTGGTTCGTACAAACCGCTACCGCCTCAGTTTTGGAAGGCGATTTGGACTCGTAGAAATGATGTTCGCGATCGGGTTGCTGTTAAGGTTGATGGCGCATGGCGTTGAAAAACCCTTTGCTCGTGCTAGGCTTGTGTATGTCGCAATCAACGTTTGGATTCTTCACCCCGTTTCTTCAGCAACGACGACAGTTTTTTGTCATCAACGATTCTTCTCTTCTTGAGCTGGATCTGCTCGTCTTCGGACGACAGCGTTGACGACAACGAATGGTAATACTGAATAAAAACAAGAATAAAATGTATTCGATTATTAATTTGGCAAAACATCACGAACTATCTGTGTACAACTATCAATTACAGATTAGTAATCATATTGTTCATGAATAAAAAAAAAAAATTAAGACAAAAAGTGTTTGATGGCATTTTTTGAATTATTCTATTAATTCTTTGTGAATCCCTGAATTATTTATGGATAACCAAATTATTTGGATAATTCATTATATTCAAACATAAAATTAAAGCCACCCAATACTTAAACAAGTTTATTGCTTTTTCAGATATCTCCATAACAATAAAATACCTAGTTAGTTTGAACATTTAGTGAGTTGAAATTACTGAACAATATAAAAGGAATTTGACTAGTCATTAAAAAAAAACCCCAGAAACAGCTCGATTATAATATATATATACATATAAATACACACATTATTAACAAAAGTATTTTAATAGCTCACCATTGGTAGTTCCTCTTCGATTTTTGGTTTGGCTGTAATTTGGTTAGCAGAAGCTTCTCTTTGGATTTTTTAAATAATGGCGTTTTTCCTCAATCATTTTCCTTTTTTTTTAAACAGTAGCTTCTTTAAATTCCTTTTTAACCTTGCTGTCCTTAGGAAGATCTTTTGATTCAGCCAGTACAGAGTCACTTTTAACAGTAGATTTGTTTCGAGCACTATTACCAGAACAAGTAATTGTTTCTTCTATTTTCGTTTTACTTGGCTTTTTAGTCACAGACTCAGTAGCCATTTCCTTTTCTTTCAAAACGATTTCAGACTTTTCTTTTTTTCTGTCAACTTTGTGTGGAATTTCAATGTTGTTCTTTAATGTTGCTGCCACCTTCTCTTCTACCCTTACGGTTTTCAAAGGCTTTTTTTCAGACAAACGGTTCCGTTTTCTTTCCGATTGTTTCAGGCCTGTATTTTTTCTTATCTACTTTCTTAGCAACATGTTTATCACTACTCTTCATAGTTAAAGCAACCTTGTCTTCGACTTTTAAAGTTTTGGAAGGTTTTTTTGGTGTCACCGGTTCTTTGACAATATCGGCTTCCTTTATGAAAGTTTCTATTTTTTCTTTTTATTCCTTAGGTTCTAATTTAATGGCAATAGTCGTTTGCCTGTTCTTATCAAAACTGCTAGAGGGTAACGCTTTATCCACATCATGAATGATACTGCGACTAAATCTGCTTCCAGATCTCACTCCTCTAAGATGACTTATCATCAAGCAGCCGAGTTTTTGGTAGAAATCTTCAATACTATGTAGATACCTAGTACAAACAAAGTACTTATTATCATTCGCTGTTCATCAAATTAATTTCACATACATCATAACTCGTATTGTAATAATTTTTAAGTATAAATTCAAAGTGCATTAATTTTTTCGGTTTTATAAAAACATTTATAAATTATTAATTGATTTTTTCCAAACAGGATGTTATATTATTATTTTTAAGTTTACAAGGGTAGTTCTTTTTTTAATAAAGTTACACGTTTATTACAATATTGTTTATTTGTTCGTGGTATACTAGCGATATTTAATATTACAAACATACACTTACTGTAGGTAATATTGTTTGACAGAAGAAACACGGTTTGTGGCCAATCCTTTGTGCCAGTTATCCACTGTTAACATTTACTGACTTTGTTAAAACCGCCCAAGTTAATGACAACCTAAAACATAATAAAACACTTAGAATACGACAACTGAATTCTATATTTTATATACACATAACACATCATTGTTACAATTTCTGTACAAATAGTTATTTAAATATATTTAAAACTTAAGTATCCCGTTAAAGATAATTTATTTGTCCATAAATATATCAACTATTTTAATACTAGTATAAATCGAATTTAATAATTTCATTTAGTTTAGTAATTTAAAAAATGTTTGAATAATTTGCATACATCTTCGGACTGACAATCCGTTCCGGACAGCGAATTCATCTAGAAACAATCTCATGATGGCAGAGTTAGACCTTCAAGACCCGTTAAGCCACATCATGATATTATAATAAACATTGCATAAGATTCATCAATCAATATCAATCTATCATGTATAACTTAATAACACACCAAAAGCAATTCAAACATATATTTTCTTCGAATCTATTTTGAAAATTGTGTCAACATAATAAAACACTGTATCAGTTAGTTTTATTAACAGCTACTGTACTGACAATCATTAAACACCCAATTGAATGTTCAATAGATTCTCTTTACGCTAACGTGTACTTTAAGCTAAATTAAATATCGATTAAATACCTTGAACAGTTTGTACATATCAACATTTTTGTCGTTAATCATGGGTGCTTGGTTTTTATAGGTGTCCCTCGGACATCCATAACATTGAATAATAGTGCCCAAAAGGGTCTTCAATAGATTCTTAATTGGAGTTCTAAGAAATGTTGATAATTTTATTGTAAACAGATAAAGGATAAAAATAAATCTGTAGCATTATAACAGAACATGATAAGTCAAAGCGGAATTATCTGTAAAAGCGGTTCAGTTATTTGACTAACAATGTTAACAAAGATGGAAAATTATATTTCAAACGTGGAAAAAAAGAATTACCTAAAATTTATAAAGAAAACTAACTAACTTCTGCCTTAATTACCAAACAGAAATGTATTAAATTTTAATTTTTTACATCAATATTATAACGCCTTCACTGTCATGACACAGTTTTTTTCGAGTCCAAACAGTAAGTCACGGTCCTAATGTGGCCGAAGTTCATCTTTGTCCAGATATAAAATCGCTTTTTCAACAGCTATAGAAATTTGAATTGTATTAACGAAAAGATATTTATAAAAATAAAATAACAATGCTATAATTATAATAAATACCCGTTTTTAAAGTAGGATTTTCTACTTTGGGGGCTATTTCTTTTGTAAATTCTGTAATTTCTTTTTTCAAAACTGTACAGCTGCAAATGGAAGTGTTGTTATGGTTAATTTATAAAAATAAACACATTAATAGGTTATTAAATTCAATTAGAATTATTTCATCAACTCACTATTTTCCATCTTTAAAAGAACGAACCAAGTAGTCTTCCAAAACGTTTGTTTTGACTGCAAATTGTGCAGTAGGCGCTAGCACTAACCCGGGAAACCAATTGTCTCTGACTTTTTTTTTGTTATTGAACTCTATGCACACCATGTTACCAATGTCTTTTTCTTCCATTTCTAAAATGTCTTCCTCTCCACTTTCCCTGTAAAAAATCAATCAAAATAAGATTATTCACACTACATAAAACCTTTTGTTAAAACTTAAAATCATTGAATACAATACCTAACTATTGAAATATAAAAAAGAGCATCAATTGTTTAAACAATTAAGATTATTTAACAGCTAAACTAAGTTTATTTAAATTATTTAGTATACAGTTAAGAATTAAGTAAAAATAAATTGTACAAAGATTTTTTTGATAAAAAATAAATATTGAATACATTTAAAAGTCTAAAATATCAAAAATAATAACTAATAAAATAATAAAACTCTTAGAAATTTGTCGTACCAACAGTGTTTTGACAATAGTCCTGTATTTTTTGAATTGTTCCTTCTTATAACTCTTTCTTTTCATTACATTTGCACCAATCTACAAAAAAAGAAACGCATGTTTTCTTGATCATACTAAATTTTGATTTAGCACATATTGCTAAAACACAAAACCTGTATATGTATATATATATATCATAAACTAACCTTGCATTTTACTGATTTTGAGATTTTCCTGATCTTTGCATCACAAAATGCTCCTTTATACTAGGCACTGACCTCAGTACCGACAGCAAGAAGTGGAGGTTCGACCAAATTCACCTAATCACATAAAAACAATATTAGACTACATCAAAAAATAAGTTTGTAAGAGTTAAACAATTGCATTAAAAAAAAAAAAACTATAATGCTTTCCAATTAGAATATTTATAATTATATAAAAATATAACAATAGCATGCATTGAAAAGTTTGCTGGACTTAAAATATAGATTGTGAAGCCTAAATAAAATAGTGTACCTTGATGTTTTTAATAAAAATGTCAAATTATGTGTTCACATTACTATTTTACCTTAGAGTAAATAAAAAAAATGAAAATAGTTTACTAAAAGTATGTGTTCACACTTAACGTAACAATATAATCCAATAAGATATTTTTACATAATTATATTTAAACTGTTCAGTATCAAAAACACGTACATATATTTATAATTTGTAAATAGCGTATTAAGGAAATTAATTATAAACTATACACCATTGTGTTAAGATAAAAAAAAATTCACAGTCACAATTATAAGTATTGTATGACTTAAAACAATTAATACATTAACATGACAGTTGTGTGTTAGATTTCATTAAAATGTAAAGAAGAAACTCACAATTATCCATTAAACAATTATTGAGGTGTTACACCAATAGAATAATGTAAAAAATTAGTTTTTTGTACATAAATAATAAAATGGAAATAATAAGGGTGCAAATCTTTGGTTGACAAATAGTACTCAAATTATATAGTATTTCTCAGAATTATACTCCGGTCGAATAATATCCCTAGTCTTAATCAATTGCTTTCAAAAACCTGAGTACCTTGCGGTCGAGTGAGTATTCCCAAAGAAAGATTTCCGAATGACCATTTATACAGTTTAAATAGTGGTAGATTATCATTATTACATTAGGAGATTATCTTTTTACAGTGGTAGGTGATTTTGTGAGGAAGGAAAGTAATGCTAATGGTCATTATCATAATTTGATATCTGCTTGCCAACTACATAGAACCTAGAGACCACCACTGAAAAACCCCAACCATTTATAAATATTGATATTATTGTACATCAATAACCATTTTAAATGAACAAGAACCAAAATATAAACAAATATTGTTTGCAAAAAAAGCAATTGAATTTAATGTTAGAAATCTCCAACTACAATACTAGGATATTATAAAATTACCGTTATATTATGGGTTTTCAATATTGTAAGTAGTTAAGGGTTAGTTTAAATTATTCCTATTATTATCTGTTTGAATACTTATTTAACGGTTTGGCATAAACTTCCTGCAATACCTTTTTAAATTAATTAACTTTCAACAATAAATACTAACCATGATGATTTTTGTGTTTGTTTTCGTGCACAATATTATTACTAATTTACAGTCGCGTCCGTTAAATCAAATTATAATGTATATTGAATGTGATTTTGATCTGTAAAAAAACAAAAATTCAAAGTTTATTTATGGTTATATAATAATGTTATTATTTATAATGATTGAATTTATGAAACTTCTATAAATTTCAAGTAATGTCAAGTAGGTATCAAATTATCACATATTATATGCACATTATAATCATTCATAATATCATACAACTAAAGCTCGAGTTGATTTTGATAAAAAATGGTGGCTTCTTGGTATTTCTAATACAGTTTGTACATATTTAATAATATGGTTTATAACTTCTAGGTAAACTTTAGTGTAAAATACAATATAAATGTGTAAGACATATTATATAGTGTGCAGTTGTTTATCTGTAATTGGGTTAACTACTAACAAACTTAGTAACTACAAAGCTATAAAATATCAAAGATAAGAAGATAGTGTCGAAAAGTCTGTGGTAGATTAATTGCCCAGCAGGCAAGATACAAGTGTTTCATTTCCAGTCATGCTGATAATTTTTTTTATAGTTTTCCGAGTCATCAACATATTGTCTAACTTAGAATAAGCTTAAAGCAAACAAATGTCAAAAACTTAGCTATATTAGTTATTAGGTATGTATGACACACGCAGAGATGCTTGGGGATTCGTCAATATTTGTTACTATATTATCCTAATTTTTAATTAATTAAAATAAATTGACAATGCTTTTGACTGAAAATCACAAAAATATTATGTGTCAAGTTTACTATACATGATGGACTGCCATAGACTACTCTACAGAATGGAACTATAGTATACATTTATCATTCTTGTAACGTTAGTAATTATGTCACCGAAACAAATATAATAGTATAGTTGATGCAGTAGCTTGGACTTATCATAAATTTATATTTTAAAATACATACGCTTTAAATGTTAAGATTTTTATCATTAAATTTATAGGCTAGTTAAAACTAATAATTGTTTGCAATGCCTAATCAAATACTGTACTAGAAAAATAACAGTTTTTTGGAAACAAATTCGAGAAATATTATAAAGATGGATACAGTTGTGCGTTAAACAGTCAATAGACAATCGGTTATCAAGCGGACAAAAAAAAGTGTTGCGTTGAAATGAAAAACAGCACTTAGCCGAGCATACAAACAATTTACACAATATTAGATTCATTTTACTCACCATATAATGCCGCTTCTTGTTTTCTAGTATAAGAGATCGACCGACGAAGTCATCATAAACGTGGACGATGCATTTGGATCTAGAAATCAAAAAACTGAAATGATGCGATGGAATTTCGAACGTTTATTGTAGATAAAACGTATTACCTTGTCCGAAAAATAATTGCGTTTTAGTTGTTACCCGCGTTAATTCGTATCTCAAATACACTGTAAAAAGAAAATTTAACGACTTTTTTTTGTACTTTAAAGGCCAGCTAAAGCCACTTATAGTAGGCGGTAGCTGTGTAGGTAAATACAAAATGTATTTAATCAATGGCTATTAGCTGAAGACAATTTATTAAACGGCTCATTTACATTTTACACTAATCGTCAATCGACGACGATTTTGATAACCGAATGTGGCCAAAACATAGACCTATAAAGAAATGGACTGAGAGTAGAGAGAGAGATCGATATCGTTATAAAGAGACAGAGATATTTGTTAGGTATGGCATTGAAGAAAATATAATATCACGGAAAAATAGTAACATGATAATACCCGATAACGAAATTTTAATATTTAACATATTTAATTAATTTTATTTATAGGTTTATGGGCCAAAACACTGAACTCAATATATATTTTTCAATTCATAATTTTTTAAAATAATTATAAACATTAAAAATTGTTTTTATGATCTGGTAACGAGTATCGTGTGACATAGTTAAAATAAATGATATACTCTTTGACTTTCAAATATGAGCGGGCTGACGGTAAACAGCAAAACCAATTGAAATATTGAATTATCGAATATTGCACTGCAATACATAAATATCGAATTTATTTATAAAACTTTTTAACCTATACACCTTATAAACCTCATACCTCAACTTTTTCCTTATATTTGTTTTAATTTTTTTTTATTGCAGTGCCTATTGTACATGTTATATTCGCATTTTACTCGTAACTTATTTTCTTATCGTAATGCTCCCTTGCGAGCCGTACGTACCTATACTTAAAAATAAAATTCCACATATTATTATAACAAAATAGCGTACGAAATGTCCGTTATTATTTTGCCTACGGTATTTATTGATTATTATTTTGATCGTGTTATACTCGACTGAATACTTAAAATCCGTTTAGCTGTGTACAATAGCCTACACTCTATATCATGTTGAGTAGCTGTATTGATTTTAGTGCCCGGGCGCGCTATAGTCGAGTCTCAGTTTCCGTGAAACGTACTATAGTTTGAAGTTTCACACTCGTGCGGTATTGATTAATTTATGTACCTATAGTCTACAGATGGGCGATGGCGAATGCCGGATGCCCAATTAAATATTAATACATTTCTCAATTTCTAATATATTTATTTGTTGTTATTGTTAACTTTTGCACCGGTTTGTTTGTGCGATTTTTTATTTCAATTATGAACAATTCAAAAAGTGTTTCATACCGCAAATGTGGTGTGAAATACCGTAAGAATAGAAATTCGCTACATTCAGCTAAATATGTAATTAGTCACTTCACGTTACCGAAGGACTCTGAAAGGTTAGAATATTTAAATTAACTTCGGTATTCTTATTGTCTTCTTTCTACTTCTGCAATTCGCTATTTTTAATCAAATGCGGAGACCGTTTGACTGCGTATTGAGTGTTGGATATTAATAAGACAGCGGTAGACAGCACATGACAAGAATGCCTTACCTTTTTAAAATATTAAATAATGTAATATATCACATAAAGTATTTTATACTGATATACTTTTTATTGTTCTAGACGTGCGATGTGGATTGAGAATTGTGTCCCCGAACTGGCTGACAAAAACGTTGTCGTTAAAGATTATTTTGAAGACAAAAATATGGTCCTGAATGTTAATCGTAGAAACAGGTTAACAAATAATGCTGTCCCTACCCTCTTTAACGGTAAGATATTTGTAAAATTATTATCAATAATATTTTCTAGATAGTAAAAAATATATACTGTGTATAATATATTTGTATATTGTATTTGTATTATATTTTTGTAAGGACTAACGATTATTGGCGTAACTGAATTAGGTCATAACCATAGCATATTAGTAGTATTATTTTTATTTGCGCATACTTCTTCTTCCGCCCTAACTTTTAAACTTGTATAACTTTGAAAAAAAGTGGTTCAAAACTGGTTATCAACTAGTCAACACTTTAGGTAAAATATTCTTAATTTAATAAAACATAAACGTTACCTTTTTGAGTTTCAAAAGTTGATATTAAAAAAACAATTTGGTAGGAACATACAAATTTGTAGAAAATATTTTTAAAATTAAAGAGTTACAAGTCTTTTGAAGGGCAAGTGGTGATTATAATATAAAATTAATTTTATTATTTATTATATTTGTATTTAAAGCTTCTATTTGTTTGTTAATGCCTTACCTTTTTAAAATATTTAATTATGTAATACATCACATAAAGACGTATTTATACTGATATACTTTTTATTGTTCTAGACGTGCGATGTGGATTGAGAATGGTGTCCCCGAAGTGGCTGACAAAAACGTTGTCGTTAAAGATTATTTTGAAGACAAAAATATGGTCCTGAATGTTAATCGTAGAAACAGGTTAACGAATAATGCTGTCCCTACCCTCTTTAACGGTAGGATATTTGTAAAATTAATATCAATAATATGTTCTAGATAGTAAAAAATATATCCTGTGTATTATATATTGTAAGGACTAATGATTATTGGCGTAAATTAATTAGGTCATAACCATAGCATATTAGTAATATTAGTTGATATTAAAAAAAACAATTTGGTAGGAACATACAAATTTGTAGAAAATATTTTTAAAATTAAAGAAGTTACAAGTCTTCTTTTGAAAGGCAAGTGGTGATTATAATATAAATTTAATTGTATTATTTATTATATTTGTATTTAAAGCTTCTATTTGTTTGTTAATGAGGTATTTTTATTAAAAGAGTTTTTTTAAAAATTTTGTATAGGAATTGAACAGCTATTTATTAAAACATTTGTATTTAACTGAAAATGTTTTAAAACATCTAAAAATATATGGTTGAGGTGTATAAAACTGATTTAATAAATAATGTTCACAGCTTAGTTCAACTGTAGATTTTTTGGAAGTATGGACAATTTTAGTGCATTTCAATTTTAAATTAGTTACCGTCTCACTAGCTGTGGTGGTTTTATTTTCATTAGCATGTCATTCTACTTAAAAAACATAATATTTTCCTTCAGTCGCCACTAATAAAATAACTTCCTATTTTCCATTGAATTTACACTAGCACCATCTGAATCAACACTTTTAATGATACCCAGGCACTAGAGGTCTGTGCGGTCCTAATAAAATGGGACCGGACCATGAAATTGAAAAATACTACTTATCCGGACCGGACCGACACGTAAAATATTATTTTGTAACTCGGACCAACCCGGACCGGGTTAAGATAACAATTTTTTTTTTAACCGATAACGCGATAGGCGGCAAGTGATAACGATAATATTATAATCAATACTAGTATAAGTGTATTATGTGTACCGTGTACGACAGACGACAGTTGGTTTTCAGTTTTTACCTGGCGTTAACCGTTTGTCAATCAAATTAACTGTAGTAACCGGACCGCAAAAGTCAGGATCTATAAACAATATACATTGTATATTATACAATAATTATTACTTGACTAAAAGATCATTTTTTTTATATGTATATATATATTTATATATATATATATGGTCAAATGAGATGGGTCATTACTATTTACTCCTTAATAATATGTGATGCTGGCCGCACAATAAATATCATTAGTTGTTGTGTATTGTATACACATTTTGTTAATGTTGGCGTCAATGAGAGGCGATTTTTTTTTGGGCGGGGATTTGTCGCGTGACGTTTTGAAGTGTAGCCGTTTCATTTAATTGTCAAGGACCTGCATAGCCGTGCAACGTTGCACAGCGTAAGCGAAACGTCGCGCAGTAAAATGTTGCAAATTGCATATTTTGCCATCGATCGGCTCTTCTGAAGGTGAAGTTAAATACGGTTAGGTTAGGTTGGTCGCCGGTGTTACGGTCTCGGCCAGTATCGTTACTCGTCGGCCGACAGCGGCATGGTCTGCTGCTTGTCTGTACGCTGTCGGCGGCGGCGTCTCTGATTCGGACGGGCGGGTAGTGGCTGATAAAACTTTAACGTTGCACAGCGTTGCGAAACGTCGCGAGGCAAAATGCATATTTTGTCATCGATCTGTTAGGGGTAAGTTATATACGGTTAGGTTAGGTAGGTCGCCGGCGTTACGGTCTCGGTTAGCCTCGTGACTCGTCGGACGGCAGTGTACGCCGTCTGCGTCTGGTCCCTTCGCCGTCGGCGGTTATAGTGGCGGTGACGGAGGTGTCTGCGTTCAGCCCCCTCGCCGCGCCGTCGGCGTCGGTGGTTGGGGTGACGAAGGCGCGGGGGCGTCTAAGCTTTTACCTGGCGGGTAGTGGCTGATTTACCAAATTATCAGCGCGGCAGCTGTAATAGTGATTATTTTTTATCATCACATGAGTGTAATTCTTTCATTATTCATTATTGCATTAATTATCTCAATATGAGTGACATTACACTATTATCCCTGTGGTCAGGGAAGAAAGAATTCTACCAAAGGCCTCACACCTGCCATAAAAGGCGACTAAAGTGACGTAGAGCCCTCCGTTAAGTGGCCTTTTAACAGGTCACTTCTTCTTGAGACACACCTTCCCCGGCCCGCAATTAGCACCCAGTGCTACTAGTCGGTCCGCGGTCGTAGGGGATCCCTTCGGGACGAACCACTAAAGCCAAGGAACACCTGACATTACACTGAGCCCCCCAAAAATGATGTGGGTGTTTACGTGTATAATAGATGTTCTTAAGATACAGGATACATTTTAAAGTTCTATAATATCTAAAAAATGAATAATAAAATAAATATAATAGTAACAGTTATTTATTATTAATATAACCACTTAACTTTTCGTTTTGCATGATGATGCAAAAGTATGAGATTACGGAAAAAAGAAAAATCACAGCGACAGGTAGAAATACGTTGCAAATCCAATAACAACACATATCAAGACACTTATTTTATAATAATATGGTATTGTTGTGTCATGCATCATTCGAATAAAACATTATCCAAATAATCATCTAGATAACACGTTATTCGAGTGAAAGTTATTCGAATAACTTTTTCAAATTTAATTATTCGAAAAATTTTCAAAATAATTAATTCGAATAAATTTAAGACTAAAGTACTTGAATAATTGCTTTATGTGATTTGTTCGGTTGTACGCTTAAAGCCAATTCAATCATATTAGGTTTATAATTTGGAACTTTTAATGAAGTACACGCGCAGCACTGAATTTATCCGTTAGTGAATTTCTCAAGTTTCTTAGTAAGCAACTGGAATACTGTGGAGTAGGTATATTTCCTTACTTTTGTCGAAGTCACAGTAAGTCTAACTTAGTTTAAATTATACGATATTGTAACATAAATCATAATGCTAATTATAATATTAATGACACTACATGATGATTTTATAACAATGGTCTTACACTTCATTATGAAAAGACTACATTTTTGTGTTTAATAATTAAAGATAAAAACCATTAAATTAATAACAACAAAATATTCTTTTATACGTATAATTGCAATCAGTGTATACTGTAAACATAATATTTTGGTCTTGTCATTGAAAACCTAATTAAGTACATTTTACATTAACCCAAAACTGTAGGCAATTTTTTTTTTTAATTTTAAAAATATACTGAACATATTATATTAAAGAGTCATGGGGTAGAAATTAAATCAACTAACACCGATGACTAACGAATATCATTATGGTTCTTACACAAAAGAGCTATCTAAAAAAAATTTAGTTAAATGAAATTAAAAAAATTAGACAAAATATTTCAGCATTCTTAAGATAAGAAAGATAGGCCAAATCGCAAAACAAACTGTCCATTTTCATGAAATAATACAACATTATAAATAAATATACTGTTTTATTCATCCATTATTGTTTTATTCATTCATTAGACAATAAATAATATGACGCATAATTATTGAAATACTATTATCGGGTAGGTATGTGATAAAATGTACAAGGGGGGTTATTAGAATAATATTATTCAAGTCCCATCATTTAAATGTGAGTATTTATTTAAATATACTAAGTCCCGTCAGACTATGGAATAAAATATGTGATATATAAAAAAATATATTTTTGTCCTAGTGGGTACACTGCATTATGGAAAAATTGTCATTCCATCCCGGGTTTTAGATATACCCCTAGAACTGATTTAGTGGGTGCCGACCATAGAGTAATAATATAAAGAGATGAAATACATACCTATACTAGCTTGTATGCAAGAGCGAAGTAAAAAGTCTATTGTTGAACAAATAAAACAGCTAGGCATTGTGGTTAATTAATACAAATAAATAGCTAAAACTTATATACCTTATATACAAGTTAATAATAATACATTTTATATTATATTTTATCGAATTTAAAAGCAATATTTTTTCAAAATACTGTTATCATTGATATCCTATCACCACGATATATTGAACGATGATTATTTTCTTCTATCTTAGCAGGCTGATTTTAGTCCTACTTTTTGCTACACATTAAAACTACTATAGCCACCCCTGATGTAAATACCATACGCACTAGACGGCTGTACGGTTATAAAATCGATATCCGTTTATTTTGTGTTGTAGGATATTACAACAGTCGGAAGCGATTTAATTATTTAGTAGAAACAAAAGAGCATGGGCCTGACACGCGGCTTATCAAAGACCGTCGCAGTAAACATTTCCCATCGACATGTCAATTCAAAGGGACGAAAATAATTAAGCACTTATTAAAAACACGTTAGGATAGTTTAAAAGGCTTTTGTGTGAGCGCCTGGCTGCATTCACAGTATTAAATTGAAGCTAAACTAAAGTATTAGCCACTCGAGTTTCCCGGGACGTCTGACAGCGGCGTCTACTCTTGACAAATTAAAAAATTTACCCCACCGTGTCTTATGTACATTTGTACATTTGAATTAAGATGTATGTAAATGGAGGGTACAGAAAAAACCAGCAAAGCCACTCTTTAAAAATGGCATTTTTTTGTTGTTACGTATGTTTGAATAATTTTATAAAAAAGTGTTTTTTTTATTGTATCTATTGAACAGAACTATGTATCATTTGAAAGAGTTTCGGATATATCCACGTCACTAGTTATATGCAACTGAGTATGGCCACGGCAGCTGAATAGTCGAGACCATTATTGCCCTGAAGATGGGCTCTGCGAAGAGTCCGAAACGTCGGCATATAACTAGTGACGTAGATATATCAGAAACTTTTTCAAACGATATATCAATCCACGAAAGCTTTAACGCATTCATATCAGAACTATATACTTATAGAATTAATGTAAAATTTTAAGTTTTTTTAAGTGTATACACTAGGGTGGTACTTATTTGCACGATTTTCGAATTTCAATTGTGCCGCCCCTCCCATTCGATTCGATTCGAAAAAAAAAAAATTTTGAAGCCAACTTTGAACTTTCTAATCCGATCCTAATCATTCCCTGTAACGAGGAGAAGTTTGCCGTTTAAAATACATGCAATTTCCCTA